CCGCCTGGTGCACTGGACATCACCGAAACCTGCTTAAACTATGAGCCAGACCGATCCTTACACGGCCCCCCCGGCTCTCTGGGATTGCCGGTGAGGTTTGGCCGTGGCTTTTTTTTATTGGGCTTGATTTGGTGGTTGTTTTTTTCTTGGATCGGTTGTCGCCTGCAGATCTCGTTCTGGCTCATCGAGAACGGTTTCAGCGTCCTCATCGCCGCCTGCGACACTTTCCGGGCCGGAGCGGTGGAGCAGCTGCGCACCCACACGCGGCGCCTCAACGCCCTGCACCCTCCGGAGAGCCACGGCGGGAGGACCATGGTGCAGCTCTACGAGAAGGGCTACGGCAAGGACGCGGCGGGGATCGCCATGGAGGCCATCTCCTACGGTGGGTGGGGAAGGCGGTGCTGGGAGGCGGCGTTTCGGGGGTAAAAAACGTCCTGTTTAGTGCTTTTGGTGTCTCTGCCAGCTCGCAACCAGGGCTTCGACGTGGTCCTGGTGGACACGGCCGGCCGCATGCAGGACAACGCTCCCTTGATGACGGCCTTGGCCAAGCTCATCGCTGTCAACGCTCCCGACTTGGTCCTCTTCGTCGGGGAAGCGCTGGTGGGAAACGAGGCGGTGGATCAGCTGGTGAGCGCTTTGTGGGGGGGAAAGACCCCAAATTCTCAAGGTTTCAGGGCGTTTCTGTGTGTTTCGGGGCAGTTCTGCAGGGTTTTGGGGCACTTCTGCGGGGTCTCGAGGCATTTCTGTGTGTTTTGGGGCAGTTCTGTGTTTTGGGGCACTTCTGCGGGGGTTTTGGGGCAGTTCTGTGGGGTTTTGGGGCAGTTCTGCAGGGTTTTGAGGCATTTCTGTGTTTCGGGGCACTTCTGCAGGGGTTTTGAGGTAGTTCTGGGGGGTTTTGGGGCGTTTCTGTGGGGGTTTTGGCAGTTCTGTGGGGTTTGGGGCGTTTCTGCAGGGGGTTTTGGGCAGTTCTGTGGGGTTTTGGGGCACTTCTGAGGGGTCTCGAGGCATTTCTGTGTGTTTTGGGGCAGTTCTGCAGGGGTTTTGAGGCACTTCTGTGGGGTTTTGAGGCATTTCTATGTTTCAGGGCACTTCTGCAGGGGTTTTGCGGTAGTTCTGCGGAGTTTTGGGGCAGTTCTGTGTGGTTTTGGGGCACTTCTGCGGGGTTTCGAGGCATTTCTGTGTTTCGGGGCAGTTCTGCAGGGGTTTTGAGGTAGTTCTGCAGGGTTTCGGGGCGTTTCTGCGGGGGTTTTTGGGCACTTCTGTGGGGTTTTTGGGCAGTTCCGCGGGGTTTCAGGGCACTTTGGGGTTTCGGGGCACTTCTGCGGGGTTTTGATGCAGTTCTGTGGGATTTTGGGGCAGTTCAGGGTTTTTTGGGCAGTTCTGTTTGGGTTTTGGGGTACTTCTGCGGGGTTTCGGCGCATTTGTGTTTTGGGGCAGTTCTGGGGGGTTTTGGGGCACTTTTGCGGGGTTTCGGGGCACTTTGGGGTTTCGGGGTGTTTCTACAGGGGTTTTTGGGCGTTTCTGCGGGGTTTTTGGGCAGTTCTCCGTTCCCTTCCTCAGGTCAAGTTCAACAAGGCCCTGGCTGACCACTCCATGGCCCAGACGCCGCGGCTCATCGACGGGATCGTCCTCACCAAGTTCGACACCATCGACGACAAGGTAAGGCCGTGGAGACGCACGCGCTCCCCTAGGAGGGAGCAGCGAACCTGCGGGCTCTGAGGGCGGTTTCTGTCCCCCTGGGCAGGTCGGCGCTGCCATCTCCATGACGTACATCACGAGCAAGCCCATCGTTTTCGTCGGTACCGGACAAACCTACTGTGATCTGCGAAGCCTTAACGCCAAGGCCGTGGTCGCAGCGCTCATGAAGGCCTAAAAAAAAACAAACAACAACAACCAACCAAACCAAAACCCACCAAATCGCTGTTTGCAGCTGTCAGACAAGAACATGCTTTACCCTCTTACCGACTTAGTCTTGCCCGTGTAGTGCCCAGCAGAACGAAGGGGGTCTTTTTGGGGGATAAAAGCCCCTTTTTATCCAGCAAAAGCCCTTCGTTCTGCTTGCAGTGACGCAGGGAGCCCGAAGCCAGAGCTTTGTATTGTTCGTGCTGCACAGTGGAAGGGGGGCAGTGTAAGGACCTGCTGTGCTTTTTTGGGGGGGCGTTTGAAGGCTTTTTTTTGAGCTGCTTTTGATTGCTTTTTAGAGCAGTTTAGGGAGGACACTGAGTGAATTTTGTGGGGATGAGCAGCACGGCCGCGATTTGCTTGGTCACGGCGCCGCTAGCGGCAGCTCCACCCCGAGCTGATGAACCAAAAACGGCTGGAGGGGGAAAAAATGCTTCAATTGCCTTAAAATCCCCGGGTTTTGGGCTCCAGAGGAAGGGTCTCTGGACACGGCATTTTGGGGCAGGAGCAGGAGAGCTGCGGCAGCTCGGTCCTATCGCGCCGGTCGGAGCTGGAGGACGAAGGCAGCGTGCTCCTGCCTCAGCGTTTGCTAGTGAAAAGGAGAAAAAAAACCCAATTAATACTGGAAGTTAATGAGTTAATGAAGGCTGTTTTGCTGCTTTTCCTGCACCCTTTCTTCCCCTCGCCCCCCTTCTTCGAGTGCCTCTTGCTCCCGGTCTGAAGTGCTCCACTGAATAATACAAAACTCTCTGACCGTGTCTTGTAGCTCCGTATCGCAGATGTGCTCTAGTGCAATAAACTGAATGCTGTCTGCTAAGAGACATAATTTATATCAAATAAACTTCATAATTTGTTCTTCGTGTAGAAATAACTTCTCTCCGGCCAGGATCTATTTCCTTCTCGAGGTGGGGGGGGTGGGAAGGCAAAGCCCTGCCTCCCTGGGGCGTTTGAGAGGGCATTTAAATCACCCAGCAGCTGAAAGTGAAGTGAGGGAGCCTTTAATCCAAGCTTCGACGTACAAAATGCTGTACAGTATCAAGACAGGACTAGAAAACTAGAGCTTCGAGTAAAAAACAAACCAAAAAATGCTCGAGTTTTGTGGGTTTTTTAACAGAAAATACAGAATTAAAAAAGCACTAAGTATGAAATCGGAGGAGGTTGCAGGTCCCTGGGGGAGACCTCGCTCCCCGATCGAAAGATGAATGACGGCTGCGAGGAGACCCTGCCTGGAGCATCCGGCCCCGGCCTCCAGCCCTGCCCTGGCCTGGCCTTAAAAACCCCAGCCCGGGCCTCCCTGGGCGCTGCTGCCTCTGGCTTGGGCTGGTCCTTAGGTCCTGGGGCCCGGCTGCTGCTCAGGGGCTGCATCCTGCGGAGAAAGGAGAGGCTCTGAGCGGCGCCTGAGCTTTTGGGGAGTCTCACGGGGCTGGAAAGGGCGACGCAGCCCCAGACTCTCACCTTTCATCTCGGCGCAGGCGGCAGCAGAGCCGTTCAGCTGCTGGCCCTCCTTAGGCACACCTAGGAGAGAGCAACGGTGGTGGAGAGGCAACCAAAGGTGATGAAACTTGCTGCTTTTCCTCGTTTTTATGGTTTATTAGTGAGATCTCACGTGGGTTAAATCTTTAGCTCGGGCATTGAGGTCAAAACAGTGAGGCCGAAATGCGCTGGCGCTAGAATGGGAATAGGCAACTGCAGGCTACAAATCATGGAGTGGGGAACTAGAAGAATTGATGGTGATTTCATCAAGTTAAACCCTAAATCCAGCTGTATTTGCTGACAATTATTTGAGGGGGCCAAAAAAAGCAAGCTTAAGAAATAATCTAGTCTAAAGAACAGGCACTACAAGCACTGCCTGTGCTCCAAAGTCCACGGGGATGGTTGAGAACCAGCCCTGATCCCGAAACGAACGGCGCAGGAGCTGGACGGGCGCGGACACCGCGTCCCGCACGGCCCCGAGCCCGTACCTGCGTGACCCCGCGTGGCGATCTCGCCCGCCAGCCTCTCAAAGTACTCGGGCAGGTCGGCGTATTGGTCTCCGTAGGAGATGACTTTGATCCCCTTGTCCAGCATGTTCTCCCGCAGCTTCTTGAACTCGTCCACGTCTCCCCTCCGCACCAGCATGAAGTGCTCCAGGTCGGACTTGTGCTTCATAGCCTCTAAAAACAGGGCCTGAAACGTGGTGTCATCAACAGTCCAACCACAGCCCAAGAACAGGAATGACTTATTCTCATACAGCTTCTGAATCTCGCGCTTTAAAAAAGGGAGAGATGTTCTCGGTCAAGGTGAGCTCCGTCTCCGCGCAGCACAAGAGACAGCAACGCCGAGGGCTCTGCTGTCGTCCCCAGCTCCTCTTCCACTTTGCAAAATTAAAGGACTCTCCCACCCCCCAGACTTCAAACTCGGCGGAGTCCACGCCTGGTTAACGTATGGGCCTGCCGGGAGGTGCGTGGGAAGCGGGAGACGCACACAGACAACGTTTGGGACCCCAAAAACCCCGCGGAGAGGAGAGGAGGGGCCTCACCATCACCTCTGTGTTGCGCAGCACGTTCTGGTACCCGGCCGGGTGCAGCACGATGCCGCTGGGGTTGGTGTAAACACCGTGGATGTGCAGGACGCTCAGCGTCCTCTTCTCCTGCGCCCACTCCAGCACCTGCGCAAAGGAAAAACCCTCCAGAAACGCGGCGCTGTTGAAAACACCGCGCTGGAGAATCGATTGGGAAAGGCAGCTGCTTCCTCACTGGAGACCCCATCAATGCACCGGACTCAGCAGAAAAAGGGAGGAAAACTCGAAATACGACACCAGCAAAGTGGATTTCCTGGCCCCTCTGAGGTGTGAGCAGCAGGGCCAGGGAGGTGATCATCCCCCTGTACTCGGCACTGGTGAGGCCGCACCTCGAGTGCTGTGTTCAGTTGTGGGCCCCTCACGAGAAGAGGGATGTGGAGACTCTGGAGCGTGTTCAGAGAAGAGCCACAAGGATGGGGAGGGCTCTGGAGAACAAGCCTGATGAGGAGCGGCTGAGGGAACTGGGCTTGTTTAGCCTGGAGAAGAGAAGGCTGAGGGGAGACCTCATCACCACCTCCAACTGCCTCAAGGGAGCTTGTGGAGAGGTGGGTGCTGGGCTCTTCTCCCAGGTGATGGGGGACAGAACAAGGGGAAACGGCCCCAAGCTGTGCCAAGGGAGGTTCAGGTCAGAGATAAGGAGGAAGTTCTTTCCTGAGAGGGTCGTCAGAAGCTGGACCAGGCTGCCCAGGGAGGTGGTGGAGTCACCATCCCTGGATGTGTTTAAAGAGCGGGTAGATGAGGTACTTAAGGATATGGTTTAGGGGGTAGACAGGAGCGGTTGGACGTGATGATCTCAGAGGGCTTTTCCAACCGAGCCATTCTGTGATTCTGTGAAAAGAGCTGAGGGAGCTCCACAGCTGAGCTTCATTTCAGAAAGCCACCTCTGAGGCTCTGGGTTTGCTCCTGCTCATTTAAGCTTGCAATAATTAGAGTGCTTATTTGTAATGCTGGAAGCACTTCCAGCCGTGTAGATTAAGAGGTCACGCAGGAAATGCGAGGCACAGAAATGAGTGGGGATAGAAAGAGACCAAGCACTGCACAGCTCCTACACGTGGGGTGTGTTTAAGCAAGCAAAGAGAAGGCCATGACGCTCCCCACGTCCAAGGCCCGGGGCAAAAGGAGCGGCCACAAACACAGGAGCACAGCGGGACCCAGCAGGAGCCGTGCAGCCGCCTCGGAAAGAGGAGAGGAGACAAGGGAGAGGCCTTGGAGGCAACAGCCCCTGCCCCCAAAAATAGAAAGGTCAGGTTTGCATCTCACACGGAGACAAACTGCACCAACGAGCACCAACCCCGGCCTTATGTGGAAGCAAAGCTTGCAGGGCATCAGTGAGGCCCTGCCAGGAGTTTCAAGGGCAGAGCTAAGAAAGAAATAACCAGGCTTAAGGGCTCCTGCTGAGCAGCGGATGTCAGCCAGCAGCGCTGACACGAGTGCTTGGCTGCATTCCCCTGCGTGGAGTTTGTCCACGTCAACTAAACCACTGCAAACACTTCAAACCCCTTCAGACTGCACGTGAGGGGTACGATTTACCTTCTTCTCATCGGTCAGGTCCAGAGACTCCAGGTGCTTGCCCTGGTGCGCTGCGTACAGCTCCAGCAGGTTGTCGAAGTTCGTGGTTAACACCAGCGCCCCGTTTTCCATCAGGTGAAGCACGGACTGCAGCAGCTGCTTCCCCGCATCTTCCATTTTCGACTCCAGGTCGTCAAACACCTCGTACAAACAGTCTTTGAAAAAGGTTGAGCGGACGTTGCTTGTGCGCTGGGAAGGGGAAACGGATTAAGATCGGGGTTGGGCTCCTTTTACTGCTTCACACCATGATGAAAAACACCCCTGGGCTTCCCAAAAATCTCTGCAAAGCTTCTTGCAAGGCAAATGCACTCCCCCCCAGCGTGCACCCAGTGAAATCCCCAAAACTTGGTGCCCAGGGCAGAGTTGCACCTCAGTAATCTGCACTTGTGGCTCCTCGTAGATAGAGGAATTGTCAAGGTTGGGGGGCATGGTGGAGAACCAAATTTGGCTGTTTAATGACAGAATCACAGAATGTGAGGAGTTGGAAG